ACGATTAGCGTACCAAAACCACAAGTGAGAAGACACGAACGAAAATTGGAGTGATTTTTTAATAACTTCGACTGTACGAACTACAATCAGTTGTAAATCCTTGAACAAATTGCTGGGGCTTTGTTTAGTGCCCGTCATCAATTGGTTGTCAGTCATTAATTTATCGCACTTCTAAATACCGCGCTGGAATCATAAAAAATTGTTTCACACATCATTTATCACTCAACTGTCCGGATGTCGAACGGTAAAAACGTCTGAAATAGTCTCAAAACAAAAGTGTTGAACAACAAATCAGAATATTGATAGTTCAATAATAACAGTTGACAAAATAACAAGTAAAAAGCAACTAAGTTCGGCCGGGCTTTCACTATTCGGAAGGAACTTAAAAATTTTCAAAAAAAAAAAAACCATCGAAAAATACGGCCTAAATGTAAACCTTCATGAGGGGCCTATAAGAAGACGTGGTGCTGGATAAGCAATTCTTTTTGAAAGGTTGTAGTAACGATTCCGAACTTCATATACAAAATTTGACGCAATTCCAGTGAATAATGTCACTAATGTCATCAAAATGCCGAATAAAGGGGCTACCGTTGTATGGGTCCTGTACTTACACGTGGACCTGCATAGACAATTTTCCGTCATATTTTGTAGTACCCAATAGGAACTTAAAATACTAAATTTGACGCAATTCCTGTGAATAATGTCGCGAAAAATACCAAATGGAAATACCGAATATCTCGGGTTAGCGTTATATGGTTGCTGTACTAAAACGTAGACCTACATAGCCAATTTCTTCCAGGGAGTAAAGTACTCAGAGGGAACTCGTTGCGTGCATTTTCGGACGGACGGGTTTAAATCAGGGCTAGCCACAAAATGTCAAAATTTGTTGTGATTTCATTTGGTTTTAAATGCAAAGTTATTATTTTGGACAAACATGCGTATGACCAAAATGCCAACCGAGTAATAGTAATTACCACAGGCTCACATACACATACATGTATAAGAAAAAACAAGAAAATGATGCAATTTTAATTTTTACAAATTATTAAATTTCAAATATTTAGTTTTATTTATGTGCTCCAATATTTCTAGCGATGTATTCATCAAAATATTAGGCAGTGCCGACAGCGACATAATCGACTGATCGATTAAAACTAAAAATTCTGTCCATGGTAGAAATACCAGGCGAAATACATAGGCGAAAATTACTACAGAGCAACATTTTTTGAACGAATGCGTTCGCTGTCAAATTGATTTGAAGCATGGCGCAATTACAGAAGGTAGAACAAAGCTACCTCCTAAATACATTTTTGTTTTTAGTACCCCTATTCTGTCTAAACATATACACATTACGAACATTATTGTTTTGAACAAAAATAATACAAAATTATTCCAAATTCAGAAATAAATGCATATTTTTCGACGTTAAGGGCCAACAAATTGTAGAATTTTGGAATAAAGCTGTATTGTAATCTCGCCCATAATTCGTAGTCCTCCACGTACGAACGAGTGACATTTGCATTAATAGATGTTCAATTGTTGCTACCTCTTCAACATCTTTAGACAGTAGGATTTCTTTATGTATAGCAGCGACAGATATTTTCACAAATTTGGTCTTTTGTGGATTGTGCGCCATTTATAACTAATGATATCTGATATCCAACAGAGCAGTTCACAGGTATATCAAGGCCTATTTAAACATCGGAAATACTTACGTTTCTGTAAAAAATTAAAAAGGTACAGAGACCTAAATCTACTGTGAGTCCAGGCAGAGGTCTTATCCTGTTCTTTCTACACTTTTTCAATCAGAATTTAAACGATTAAAAAAGCGTTAAGTTCGCCGGGCCGAACTTTTTATTTATAACTAGTTTATTGCATTGACTGCAACTAAAATAGAGAAAATTTACAAAACTGCTAAATATAAAATAATAAAATAATTGTGAATTATATTTTTTATATCGAAGCCAATGAGCACATAGACTCGCTTTAACTTTCGGTGCAGTATTCTCACATATCACTTATTTTTGTGCCTTGTACTTTGTCAAGGTTTGTCCTTATTGGAAGTCCCACTTTCCGTCGAAGTATTATTTAAAATACTAAGAGTTTTTAAGGGTTCCAATAGATCTTCACGAGATCTGCAGGAGAGTTTCGAAACATGAGCATCACATTTTAAGTAGATTCGTTGCTTTGATTTGTAACAGTAAAGAATAAATGGCTTACTAAGTTTGTCATTCCATTTTCAGACAGAATTGTTTCTAACATTTGTATGTTTCAATATTTATTCGTTGGAGGGAAAGTGCCACTTTAGGCAAGTTCGTTCGAAGAAATTCGAATGGGACAGAATCAGTTCGCTTTGAGGGTAGATATATCACCAATCTTAGTTAGTAAAAATGCTTCCTTTCGTTTTTAATGTTACTGATTTTATTGAACTCCATCAATTACCAATCGATATTCACACAAGATATTGAACGAAGATATTGTTTTTTTTTTTTTTTTTTTTTTTCAAAATAATGTTCTAGTGGTGCTTTGTTACTTTATGGAAATAAATAAGTTCACATATTAGAACGGAAATGGCCAAAAGTACATTGGAGCAATAGAATAGCCAAATCCACTTGAGGTCGTCCAGCTCTATCGCATCGACACTTTCTTCTGGGGTGCTGAGATCACGAAAGGCGGTAATTTTCAAGCGGACCATAGTATAAAAATTGACACTTATCCAGTATTGCAGCAGACCTGTTTCCCGTAAATGCAGCAGATGCTTATCGAATAACGATTTGTACGGTAAATTAGGACGCAAGGGCACCGCCAGCAACGCTTGCTTGCTCAGACACAGATGTGAGGAGTAATAAATAAAGTCCTCTGAAACAGGCGCTGTTGTTCGTTGAAAACTTCCCATCTTGTGTTGGAGACCGGATAGACGAAGCGCGTGTCCATACTCTCCCTTAGCTTTAGAAAACGATCGTATGGCTCGATGGAAACGAATAGCTCTTTGTACTTGATGTATGTTGGTTTGTCCAAGAATTCCAACTCTTGTGAAGTTATGGCTATTTTAAGGCCAGCCTTGATCATGTCGTCGTACGATCCCACTCGCTTTTCCAACGCCGGGTGTATGAGATTCGATTGCAGGTACGCCTGGTATGTTGTAGATATAATAAGACTTGTGTAACACAACAGAAAACATATGTACTTCATCCATAGGCGTGGCTTCTTGGGCATTACGAATGACTGGCCCAGAAGAACACGTATACTTCTATCATTTACTATAACATTAATGAAAGAGAGATTCACATTGACGGATTCGCTTGTCCCGATGTGGAACAACATGCCGTAGATGATGGCGAGCACCACAATGATAATCATTACGCGCGAATCTATGATATAGGTAAAAATCTGGTTGGCTTTCATACGACGCGGCAATGGAATCATATAACAGAGATCCATCTGCTCTAGAGGATAGGAGTACTGAATTGTGGAATTGTTCTTATAAGGCGTGACAATCGCTGGTATATCGAGAAGACCTTCCGAGGTTCTGTTTAGGAGCGTTTCATAAAACACTGCCCTGCCTACCTCCAGGGGAGGTTGTATCACTAAGTTAGCATTGAATCTCTCGGCAAAGGAAGTTATACAGTTGGCGATGAAACCTTCCAGTTGTAAGGCCCCTTCTGCATTGTAATATAAAATGCTGCGAGGTGGCAATTGATCAGATTCGGTAATTATCTCTAGTCCATTTAAGCTCACTTTTGGTTGGCCAAAAATTTCAGCTATATTTGAAACAAATGTATTTTTGATTCTTTGTGAGCGGTAGGTGTACAACCGGTCCGATTCTATAGAACCACAGACCTGTAGTAGGTGTATTCCACTATTTTGCCCGACTAAGCTATTGCAGAGCGCATGGATTTGTTCAACACTATCCATCCATATAAGTTGACAGATTACAAATGGCGTATTGGTACCTATTACATGGATACTCGCATTCCAGTAATACGAACAACAACATCGTAGCGATAATGTATTGTTGTGATCCCGTTTATTAAAAATTCGGCGGGTAAAGCTTTCTAAGGTAACTATGCGTGGCTCCTCATCTATCCGAAGCATTTTTCGAAAAAAACAACAATATTTGGAATTGCTACAAGCATCCCATGCCAACACGAAATCTTCTTCCAACCCGGACTTAAAAATTCTGATTAACTTTAGGAGCATTTCACCTTCTATAGCAAAGTCGCCTGTATGTTCGTCAATTTTAATTCCGAAAACAATCTCACTTTCCAGATTGTCGCTGTTTGATAACGAACAAGCAAACAAAACCAAAAGCACGCCCGAAAAAATAATTATTTTCATATCCATTCGTCTTCAGGTACTAAATACAGCCCGCGGTCGAATTGTTGTAGTCTCTCTTCATAAATGAACTTGATTAAATATGCATTGCAACGGCATGTTTCGTCTACTACCTGCAATGGTATATATGTATTTACACGCCTATATTTGCAACACAGGACGAGGCGCCATTCATATTAACTTAGACTTATGTACTTATCTGGTACAATTCCAACCAACATCGGTTACTAGTAAAAGTAATTGTTTCTGAGATATACACATACATACATACACACCATGTACATGTGTGGCGATGTAATGTTGTAAACAAAAACAAAACACCAATGAATGAAAATATATGACATTTTTTAACCACAACACGTTCCGAGCAGGGAGGACAACAGCGATTGAATCGGATGTCATATACAACCTAGAAATAACTATAGCAAATATATTTGAAATGGCACAGGACGTGCGCACAGCTCACATGCATAGATTTCGACCGATTGGATATGTAAGCAGTCTTAACATCCGATCCATACAGGTTGGCCCTCTGAAACTCATCCTACATTGTCTTCATTGTACCGTGGGCTATACAGAACTAGATTGAACAGAACTAGATTTAACAGAACTATATTAAATATCTTCTGCAGGAACGATTTCTATGCCGAAACTACGAACTACTCCGCATGTAGATCAATGTTGAAGTATAAGCGTGATATACCAGCCTTATATCACGCTTATACTTCAACATTCATAAACGCCCAGGAAATATGGCTGGTATATGAGGAAGGGATGAGTTGAAATTTGGTATTAGAGTCAGTTTTTTTGAGATATGAAGGTTGTTTTGCCACAATTCTAACATGGTATAATTATTACAGGGTAACTGTAAGTGCCGACGTTTTACAAAGTTACAGAAGTGCCAAATTTATTGCCAATAAATAATAATTGTCATTGAAATTAATACAAAGTCAACCAAAAGATGCAACCAGAAGGGGCATTTGAGTGGCTAAATGGCGATGGACACAGTATGGACACATTTTATGTCACCATAACTGATGGAAAAAGAGAATGTCACTCTCCACGATATAGTATACATTATTTAGAATATAATGTCATGCTATAACACAATACATTGCACTCTAAGAGAGCTGTCGCTTTTATAGGTTTCTCACTGATTTTAATGGTTCCATGTGCAAGGAATTGATTTTGGACTTCATATCTATTATTTCGAGTTCTGAATAACATATGGCTGTTATGTTTCTACTGATTTTTGTCCATGTCTGTGACATTGCATTGTGCCTTTGGCCTTTGTGCTTTAACCTTAAAGTACATTTATGTTTGTGGACACGTCAAATGAAACGACCAATGGATTTCACTTGACCTATACCTAATGGAATTAGCGATTGAAATCCACCGGATTTGTTATATGTGTACGGAACTGTAAACACACTTTAAAAATAACACAAACGGAAACTCCTTCGCTTTGACTTCATTATTGGTGACAAAGTGTCCACTTTGAATAGAGGAAAGACTATTGTTAGTAATATTTTGTTTGAAAAAAATTAGTTTAGTCAATACTGCAGAAAATTATGATTTGTTATGCATATTTTCAAACAAGTTTGGGGCGATAAATGAAACAATGATCTCTATTGTCCACCCTTGATTCCACCAGCATTGTTAATAATTCCGAGTACCAATAACGCTGTGCGTTTTTGACAATTCAATTTGTTAATTCGATCTATTGTAGTTGTGCGACGCGGTTATTAATACTAAATATTTCTACATCGATTCAAACCGATATGTTAGCCACTTTATGGCGAAGAGGCACGCTTTGATCAGCTCTGATCTTGCACTCTCATTTGGGCATTGTGTAATGGCTAACCAAACGGGCTATGGTCACATACCAAAGACATTATACATGTTTATTATATAATCTGTTTGGTTTAAGCCACAATTTAAGAAAATTATACGCATATATTTGTTCCGTTTAGACATGCGTCATCTGCCTAATGGCCTTGCGTCCATACTAAACTGTTAATTAGTGTTCGCCATTGGCTCTATTTTATGACTCCATAAAATATTAAATTTGACCACAACTTGGCATTTCCAAGAGCAAGCCACAAAGTAGTAGTGTCAGTCTTAAAATAGTTTCTTAACAATGGCAAGCATTTGCAATATCTACAAAATTTAAGCATGTGGGTGCTGAAAGCTTTTGTGATTTTGTAAAGTTTACAACTTCTCGCAAATAAAGCATCTTAACAGCCAGCGACGGCGCAATGGCTTCTCAGCACATAAAATCTGAATGGATGCAATGCCGATACAACATGTGGCATTCCGTGAATTTCATTTTCTGTTTGGTAACATCTATTTTGAACTTGTAGTTTTTCTCTTAAATTCAAAAATTCCAACGACAAAGATCGATACTTTTTTATGGATTTATTTTATGCCCCAATTCACAGAATTGCCGGAACCAAAAGAGACATTTACATTATTCGACTCCCTTCTTTTCCATAGTTCGTTTCGTTGACTTTTCTAGAAAAAAAAGAAACAGTAATTAAAGTCTTTAAGTCGGGCGGGGCCGACTTTATGATACCCTACACCACTTTGCTAATTTAGTAGAGCTCCACATAACAATTAAAAGTTTTATGGGAGAATTCAATCATATACGCTATGATTATAATTAGAATTTAAAGGTCAAAGGACAAAATATGCCGAAGCATTTGTATCTTTTAAATTCGGACTTGTATTGTCCATTTGGTGCGCAATTAATTTGAAATCGGATAAAAATATATATGGGAGCTATATCCAAATCGGAACCGATCTCGATAAAATTTAGCAAAGGTATTTCTGAGCTGTATTTCACATATTTCCCCAAATATTGTTGTTACAGAGTGCATATTACGGCTGCGGAGGACAAAAATAACAAATCGGATGAACAATATATATGGCTATAGCTATAGCTACATCTGAGCCGATTTCGATAAAATTTGGCATACTTATTTGCAGGGCTAATTTGGTTGTATGTGCAAAATTCCATACTATTCGGGCTAATATTACACGTTTGGTGCACAAAAAAGCAAATCGGACGAAGAAATATATGGGAGCTATATCTATATTTTTACCGATTATCTCCAATTTCAATAGGGTTCGTCCTTGGGCCAAACAAATGATTTGTGCAAAATTTCATCTGGATCGGGCAATAAATGGGAACTGTACTTTGTTTACAAAAATACATGGACAGACAGACGGACGGACATTCGTAAATCGACTCAGAATGTGATTCTATGCAGATCATCAGAAGGAACTATGGGTCTATCTCGTTTCCTTTTGCCTGTTACCAATAAATGCACAAAAACATTATACCCTGACCACCTTGTGGTGTAGACGGACGGACATTCGTAAATCGACTCAGAATGTGATTCTATGCAGATCATCAGAAGGAACTATGGGTCTATCTCGTTTCCTTTTGCCTGTTACAAATAAATGCACAAAAACATTATACCCTGACCACCTTGTGGTGTAGGGTATAAAACTCCTCTTATGCATTCATAACTTAAATAATGTATAGACAAAGAAAGGTTTTTTTATGTTATCATAAAATATGATAACAGGTCTGTTAGCGCCCTCTCTTTCTGAGAGTAAGAAAAATTGTTCTCTTTCATAAGAAAATAGAGAAAAAAGTAAGAGACAGTACAGAGCTTTATATATAATATCGAATACATAGTACAAATGAGTACTTAATTGCAGGTTCTGGAATATACATTTTATTCACATTCACAATAACTTCTCGGGAAAAAGATTAAAAGTCGAGCAATTGGGAGTAGTGATTTTACGCCATACATCGATGCAGTCGGTATGGTGTCATAAAACTAGGTAGTCCGGAAAATCAAATTCCTATATAATTAAGTGGTCGGTGACATTAGTAATCGGCAGAGCCAATAAAAATACGAAAGATAAACAAAAGCGCGTAAGTTAATATAGAGAAACAACATTAAAACTAATGTTGTGTAAAATAGGGATCAACAAAAATTTATTTTGATGTT